GTGTAACAGCAAAGTGCTTCGTGGCAGCTCTGGGGAAGCATTTGCCGCTGGTTTGCAGGTGCCGGGGGGCGCTGCCTTTGCCCTAAACTGGGCCAACTGGCTTTTGTTCTGTCGGGCTGGCAGCCAAGATGCCCCATCAGCTTTCTGCTCGGTATCGCTGTCCCTCCCAAAGATGCTGCGGCCAGAAAAAAATGAGCTGGGAGAAAAAAGACGGGTTGGACATCTCCCCCCCTCCAGATCAGCCCCATTCGCTTGGGGTTGGGCAGCAGCTACTGAGCTCAAACCCCCAGCCGGGCTCAAACCCCCAGCCGGGCTCACCTCGAACGTGAGAGCTCAAAGGGAGGTCCTAAAGAGACAGCTCTTTAGGGAAAATCTGGACTCTGGGTCTCCCCTTCAGCCCTTCCTGGGGCTTCGGTCCCGCACACGTCCCCGCTGGGATCTGTTCAAAGCATCTGAGGTCAGAAAGAGCAAACTGCCACGAAGGGAGGCTGGGGAGAGGGACCCGGAGGAGGGTGAGGGGAAGAAAAAAGGCATCAGGGCCGGGGAGATGGTTTTGTTTGAAAATTTATTGAAAAAATGCAATACAAGAAGCAATACTGAACACTTAACATCCGTCTAAACGCTACGGCAACTTTCCCTTTGATTTACTATGAAAGTCCAAAATAACAGCTCCCATCACTAGTCGATCTATAAAGGTTTGCCAATTTTAAAAGTTCCTATTTTTAGAAAGAAGAGTGTAAATGCTAGCCTAGACCATTCACAATTGCCTTAAAAAATTGTACAAAGCTCCTTCATCTCCTTAACTAAATCATTTTTTTTTTTTTTTACAAGTTTCATCTCTAAGGCTGGGACACTACCACCTCTTAAGGTAATTGTACAATTAGGAAAATCAGCAAACCACAGTTTATCAAAACCAGAAACCAGTCAGTCCTTGGCTAACACATCGGCGTTGGTCAGAGATTGCTACTTGGCAACCGGAGCCGCCGTTCCAGTTTAATGGAAGACGAGCTCCTTGCCTTCCTTTCTATAAAAACACTCATTCATATATAAATAGCTTCCATATAATGTATATTATACAATCAAGACAGTCTCTGGGTGAATTTGTGGAGTGGGAAGAGCTGGGAACATTCATATAAATAGACCTTACTTAGCTGGTTTGTCCCTAGGAATGACGCCGCACGCCAAGAGCCGCTGGCTTTCCGCCCCGTTGGAGGCGGAAGGGGTGCGGGCAGCCCCGCCACGGCCCCAGGGAAGGTGGAAGAAGTTTCCTCTTCTCCTAATTTTTAATCTTCTTCCAGGCTGCCGCTGCTCCTGTCCAGCTCCCGGGCTCGGGCGCTGCACGTGGGCGGCCGCGTCGGCTGGAGAGGGTCAGCAGGGCTGGAGCCCCCGGGGGGGTTGGAGCAGGGTGACGGCAAAGGTCAGAGGAGGCGACAACTTGGTTAAAATACTCAAGGAGAAGCAAGAACTTAGAAGGGGAAGAAGTGAGAGAAGGAACAACCTGGAAACAGCCACCTGAACTCCAGGAAAAAATAACAGGGTTATCCTATTAAAAAGGGACGTACGCAGCCCCGGCGAGCACATCCTTTGGGAAACGAAGCACCTCCCGTGCCAGCGGGTTTCTCACCCCAGAAATCCCCTCCTCAGGGTGTTTTGTCCCCCTCATCGTGCTGAGGGCACCGCACTGAACACCCAGGGCCAAGCCTCAGCTTCACCACGTTCCCCAAAACTCCCGCGACAGCCAGGTGCCTGTAAGTGCTACGGACAAACTTAACTTATCACGCTGGCTGTGCCCGGTGAAGCGCAGAAATCCTCGTGAGGACAACCCGGCGTGCCCGTTTACTCCTCAGGTAGCTGCTCCCGGGTGAGAAGGAAGGGCCGAGCGGCAACAAGCTAAATTCCTAGAACGGGGACGTCACCAGAGGGATGCTCAGCATGATGGGCTTTAAGGCAAGCGTTACCCAACTAAGTTGAGGACAGCGGGGACACAGACCTGTTGAAGAATCTGCGTTGCAGAATAGGGAAGGAAAGGGCTGTTCAGACATAAATAGGAAGACTTCATCTCTACGCTACAGCTGCGGAGCTGAGGACTCCCAAAATCCCCAGAGCAGGCTGCCCGGTACCCAGTGGAAGGCAGAGCATCTCCGGAGGGGAGCACGCACCCAGAGCAGCCCCAGCAGCAGCTACCGGCATAGGGAAGGCTGGAAGCTGGAAGGACCCACGGCCAGCGATGCTCAAAGCAAGCCCAAATCCAGCAGCTCCAGCGTTTTCAGCAGTCTCCAACCAATACTGACAGCTTCACTAAAATTGCACCTGAATCTGCGAAGCTACACTCGTGCCAGTGTAGTTCGAAGGCTGTTTGCAGCTAAACAGCAAGTCCTTGCAGCCTGAGCTAAATCCAGTGACTCTGAAACACATAATTCAAATTTGAAGTAGCAGAGAGCTTCGTTTATTGCCATTTTCTTCCCATCCTCGACTGAGGAGCAGCAGCGAAGCACTCTGTGCCCTCAGCAACCAATGTGCCACACTATAGATAGATATATCTAAAAAAAAAATAAAAATCACAATCCCAAGTGTACTAAAGTGTTCACAAGTGTCTGGGCAGACTCTTCACAAAGCTTGGGTTTGGGGTTTTTTAACCTTTTTTAAATTTAAATGCTGGAAGGAGAAACCAGGGGATGGCTAAAACATTGCCGTGATGCTCAGAAAGCAGGAGCCGGAGCTCAGCGCCCGGTGCCGTGGAGGGAAGCGCATCCAGCCCCAGAAAAGATGGTTTCTGGTCCCCCCACCTAGCTGGAGATGGCCCCGGTGGTCTCTGAGCTCAGCCTGAAGAGGGACACTATCCCTGGTATTTCACTCCAGCCAGGCAGTGATGAAGTCCGGACCCTTAAGCCAGCGTGGAAGGCAGCAACAGCGCTTCCCAGGGGGTTTGGCTCTACCACGACCAGCAACACCTGACACCTCCCAAGATTTCTTGTTCAGCCCCTCCGAATTCTGTCAGGCCTAGAAGGATGGTCCAAAGGACTTAAAATTAAAGTACAGTGGGATATATGCTCTGGTAATGTGTTTACCTTTAAACAGCACTGCGAGCAGAGGGGAAAAACCAACCCACGACTTACGAAAACCCCTAATTTAAAAATCATGAACACAAACAAGTGAAAAACTATGACACCGAGAGAAAAAAAACGGGTTACTGTGAATGCTGCGTAACCTACCTTAATAGCACTCGGAGTGCAAACACCCTAAACACACGCTTCTAAGGGCTTTTTCATTTAATGGCAGCTAGAAAACACCAACAGGTAGGTAGCACTCGGCAGGGACACACAGGAGGAAGGCGAGGTGCCACCACGGTCCTCGTAAAGCTCTAAAATTCACAGTATCAGATACTTGAAGCAACTTCCAGGATTCCTTAAATCTAGTCAACTATTAAGGTAAGCGCACAGGCTACACCACAAAACCCTACTGTGTTCACACACGGCGGGGCCTGAAACCCAACGGGGAGGGAGCGCGGAGCAAAGGCTCTGCTCTGCACGCCCGGCTGTGCGGCCGGAGTCTCAGGCTCCCCAGAGCTAAAAGAATAAACCAAGAGGCAATCGGAAATGCTGCACGAAAACTGAAGTCTTGACTCTTTAAACTGACTCTCCCGGCAGAAGGACCCGTGGCTTTTTGAAGGCGCGTACTGATCCCGCACTCGGAATACGCACGGACGTGGCTTATCTCCGTTATCCCTGACGAGGCGGAGGGAATACGACTTAAAAGGGCGACCCCCTTGAGCCCTGCGGGGTGCGTGGGGGTCTGTAGCTGAAGAGGCTATGCGTGAGAGGGAATGCAAAATTGAAAACCTGTAAAAAATATTCGGTACAGTGAGAAATATGGCATACTTCTGTCACGATATATAAAAAACCCAAACCCCTCTATCCAATGGGATGCGGTGGAGTCTGGAAAATCCTAAGTAAAACGTCAAAGCGCAACTCCTAATAAATGATATGAATGTCTCTGAGTGTCGGGTCTGGTAAATCCGAGGTCTTTGTGCTCCAGGTAGTTTCTTGGTAGTTTTGCTGGGTGTCTGTCTCCTGGTGTTGTGTCCGGCAGGAACGCTTCCTGGAGAGAGAGAAGCACCGAGTTAGGGCTAACAGCCAGCTTCCTGGGAAAGAGGAACCTGCTTCCCTGAAGCAGTCGGAGAACTGAAACCAGAAGGTGAGGTACCATCAACGGCAGGTAGGAGTCCAGCTCAGAGCCTGGCACAAGCAACGTCCTGCTCCCTCCCTGAAGGACCATATTTTACGAGCTGCAAGTCCAGGCACCCGTCGGAAACCTCTGCCACTTGTATTTAGGTTTGGAGTGTTGAAAAGCTCAACCACAATGCCAGTTAACCCACGCTGGCTCTCCTCTCGCCTAATTTGTTCTTGTTCCACCTCCCAAATCTCTGCAAGTAGCAGCTTTGTTGGGATGAGGCAGGACACAAGCAGGGCAGCGCAGGGCACTGACCTGGCAACACCAACAGCACCGGCGCGGGGCAGGATGGGCTTTACGGTGCCGACGCACAGGCAGAGCTCCTGGATTCCTCCAGCAGCTATTCCCCAAAATCATCAAAACTCCAGAAAAGGGATCTTTCCAGGCCAGTCAGGAGCTTGGGGTCCAGCTCTGGGGTTTCCTGGCACTGCTACAGGCCAGGTCTATGGGAAACCTATAGGTCAGTGAGCTTCAGGTGCATCAGAGGTGCCTGGAAAGGCAGAACGGCCTCATCACAGCAGCCAGGTAGGCTCTTTCGGGCAGCTTTGGCTCACTTCCACAGCAGGATGAGTCTGTGTTTGTGACTGCTTTATCAGCCTTAAGTGATTCAATAGGAACAGCCCCAGCAGGACTCATCAGCTGACAACAACAAGTGAACTTTGGCCATATTTAGCCAAACCTCACCTGCACCGGGATGGAGCCCCCTGCCCTGAGGGGAAAGGGACACCCGTCACTCACTTGTAGGCGGTCTCCCTACTTACACAGCCTCGCTACTCCTCTGCGATCTCGGTCTCCTGGTGCACAACCACTTTGGTCACCGACATGTCCGGGTGCTGCTCCTTGGCTGCTTTTATCGCCTGCGCTAGAACCTGAAAGGGACGGCATTTCAGAGCGTGCCCCGACGGCCCTCGGGGGTCGAGAGACTATTTCTGACTCTGTGGAGAGAAACAGCTGCACAGTTGGGTGATTTTGGTGGTATTAGATTATTTCTGAAAGGAAAAGCTGTGTTCTAAGAACGCAGCACACCTCTGCGCTGCCCCATGGTAGATGGGTGAGAGCAATTAAACCCTGTTTATTCTTCCAGCGATGCAATGAGCACTTCCCAGGCATCCTCTCAGCCTTCTGCTGGAATTTATAAACCAGTTCTTGTCGTACAAATACTCTCCAGCCCCATGATACTTGCAACTAAAATTAAATTCGAAGTATAATGCTCTGATGAAAAAAACATCCCTCCCAGCACATGCTGGAGGCCAAGGAGGCTGACTCAGCAGAAAGGTTTCACACAGGGCCAGTGAGATTTAGGGCAGGTGCTGAGTGCTCTGCAGTGACCTGTGGCACGATACGGCAGCAAGAGCGCTGCAAGGTTACTAGAAAATAAAAGCAGTTCACTCAGATGGGAAAACTTTCCTTTCACACTTCTGTGGATTTTTTTTTCCTCTTTGTTTTTTAAATGATGTTTGTCCAAACCAATTCTGCAATCAAAACTTTGCTGCCGACACCAGGTTCGGAGCGGAATCAAGCTTTGCTGGGCCAGCCAAAAAAGCTCCATAGTGTCAAAAAGGAATTTATGACTGAAATCCATTTTGAAGTGTTATTTCTACCCCAGTAAAACTCCCCCGGGGTGTTTCCTGGTGAAGGTGTCTTTAGAAAGACAGACACACCGTCTAGTTCACGCCAGCTCTGAGAAGCTGTTTCGGACTGTATCTGAGCTCCTACCTGGTCATGGTCTACATCTGCATCTCCTGTGATGACAATTCTCTTTTCAATCCGTGTCTCTGAAATGCCACCCTTTACAGTCTAGGACAAGGGAGAAAAAACTGTTAGTCTAAGACTGAAATGGAATTTGAGCGCACTGGGGCTGCTTCTCTAAAGACGGTATCAAAAACACCGTTCCCAAATACTGCCGTCATCCCACGGTCTCAGAACCATGGAGGAAAATTGCCACTGCTCAAATTAAAACTGTCAAATATTCATTTTCTTACAGCTGAGCCCGGGAAGAGCTTTGACACGGTACGGTTCTGTCCCGGACAGTCAGAGCCCGCGTCCGCAGGCTGCGCTGCACTGAGTCCTAATTCAGCACGGGCAAACCTGGGACCATCCTGCTTTGTTTCAGGTATTAATCACATTTTTCTGAAAGGAACTGGGGTTTAAGCTTTTTCCCTGTTACCCAACTCTGCCCATCTCACTGTCGCATGATTGGCGTAGTCAACGCGGCTGCTTTATCGCGTTCCCGAGCCATTACCTTGGTGATCTGGGTGGTGGTGGTGCTGCTGGTGGTTTCTGAAGTGATGGTCTGAGCCGTCAGCAGGATGCCAGGGTCTAGATCGCCATTGCCACCATCTGTCTGGGGGGCAGAAGAGGCCATCAGTCTCTGCAGGCAGCGTGGACAGACACAGGGTCTCCACACCAAGCGAGCAGGATGCAATCCGAGGATGGAAACGCTCCTCCATCGCGGATGGCGGGACGGAGCGAGCTGACCTGCAGCCGGCCGGGCTGCGCCCCGCTGCACAGGGGCTTCTCAAGGCTCTGCAGGCGCAGCACAAAGGCCCTGGGCTGTAAGGCTGGAAACGCACTGACCCACAGAACGACCAGGGAGGAGCTCTGACACCCCCCGAGCAGGCGGGCTGGGGTACACCCAAATCTGGGTACACGGCTGGCCCTGCGGTGCCGTCACGCTCCTCCACGCCAAGCTGCGTGCTTTGGACCAGGAGAGGAGACCAAAGCAGACACCCATCCCCAATTTCACAGGCCTGGATCCACAGAGGGTCACGTTGCCAGAGAGCACCATCTGATCGGAAGGTATGCGTTACCCTTCCTCCCTCCTGACAGCACCCTGCGCATCACTTGCTTTAAACGCTGCAGAAGCCATGCAAACCCAGATACCTGCAACTAGGAGCATCTTCTACACCTGCTTCCTTGGTTCCCATCCGGCACGACTCGACCCTCCCAGGTCTGCCGAAACCCCTACAATAAGCCATCCTGCCAACTCACCCCGGCTGTGCCATCCGCATCTCCCTAACGAACCACTAACGAACAGGGCAGCAGCCCAGAACCGCGGTGGGACAATATCTGGAGTTACCACAAGGTGGGACCATTTTCCACAGGCCAGAAGAAATCTCCCAGCCCTGGGGACTCGCTTTTCATCTCCCAGTTAGAAAGGGTATCGGCAGAACTGGAGCAGAACTCCTCTGTTCATCTGCTCGCCAAGAAACGGGGCGATGCTGACCCCCTCTACTCCTGCAGTTGAGGAGGATGCTGAGCAGCCACGGGATTCCTCAGGAATCCCAAATTATACAAGTGTGGTCCGTGGGCTACACACAACCAAACCTACATCCCACAGTCACCACACTCCAGCACCAGAGCATGAGCTGCTGCTAACAGCCACAGCCATGACAAACCCAAGCTCACAAAGGCTCCAAACTCTCAAAACAAACCCTATTTACACTGAGGATTAATTTCAACCTCGGCAGTGAAACCATACCTGCATACGCTGGCATCACTCCACTAACGTTTCTGGTTTCCAATCACCCACTCTGGATGTATTTTATAGAGCACTTTAGGCTTTCAACACCCGTTTCAGGGTTGAAACCTAAAGGACAATTAAGTCATTTATAAACCAAGCTCTGAAGAGCGAGGTGAGCCGGGGAAAGCAAGGCATCTGCAGAAAAAAGGCCAACTCAGGTTAATGCGGTACAGCCTAACCTACATCCCAAAGCCACCAGTGGCTGAAAAATAATTACTCTTGAGGGACAGTAAAACCACTGCTCCTCTATAAAAATACCAGATGCACCTGGAAAGAGCATCCCCAGCAGCGGTTAACTGCTGCGCTGACTCAGGTGCTTGGGGAGAGGCAGGTGCTGCTGTCTCATCCGGAGGATTCCGAAACAAAACACTTAGTTGAATTTAATTAAGCCCCTGGAAAATTAATCAGAACACACCTTACCTGTGCAGCTTCGTAGGTGATGGTCTTCGTCTCCGTGTGGACGATGGGGACTTCTTTTGTGGGAATTTCACTTTTGACAGCGCTGGAGACGTCGGAGATGGTGACCGTCTGTGTCTTCACTAGCGGTGGCTACGGGACAGGGTTAAAAACACCTCCGTGAAGACCCAGCCGGCATTCCCCCATTGAAGACCCAGTCGGCATTCCCACATCGCGGCCGTGGTGCTGGCAAACGTTCTGACACTGATCTGATAAAAGCACTGCGGGAACCAAGGTCAGCCTGGCAGGCTGTGTTTTTAACCCTCTGGTAGGACACGCTGCCCAGAGGGCAGAGCTCACGCGTGGGGATTAAAGAGAGAGAGACCCTCCAGACCTTCCCCAGCACCGTGCCCTCAGGTCAGCCCAAGCGAGGCATTAAGGGTCTCACCGGTGGGTCACAACATCACAAAAAAACTTTCTCCGCTGATTATTAACTTTCTAATTACTAGAAGCTCATTGCCAGCTGCCAGTAAGCGATGACCCTCGTCTAGTGATGACAACGTCAAGATTAACACAAACCCTGGGCACATCAAGACTGATCACAGCTGAGAAGCTTTATCCCGACTGCAAGGGCAACACGGTACGATGAAACCCCCTCGTGAGATCCTAATCTTTCACTTTTATTAAATCAATGTCAGACAAAACCGAAACGTGACATCTCGAAAGAGAAATGGGGAAGGGGGGGGAAGAGAGATCAGTTGTTCCACCACCTGATAATTACCCGGAAGGCGACAGAGTTAGTTCAGACCCGCAGTGTTTTCCCAGGGGGCTCGACTTCTGCTCACCATCCCCAAACTCGGCAGATGCCACCGTGATTGTTAGCGGGGGGAGTGGACACCTCTTTGACCGTAAGCAATTAACGTCAACACTGAAGCAGGCAAAAATACCTCCCACGGTGGGAGCAGAAAGGGGACAAAACCCACGTTCACCAGGTCAAAAGCACGTTGGACAGCGCTTCAGATGCGCTCTGCTGCACTCAGGCTCAGCCTCCGGAGACGGCAAAAACCTGAAGAACTAAAAATGCATGTCTTTGGAGCCTAAATATTTCCCTTTTGGGGGATGCAACAGGATGCTTTGACCAAGGAAAGTTGCCTTGCACTGCAGCAACTGTGTGTAACGCAAAGATAAATCGAGAGGGGCTTGTCTTTAGTGCAAAGATAAATTGAGGGGGGCTTGTGTGTGCCCACTGCAGGAGATTAACTGGCTAATTAGCACCAAGCCTAAGCCAAGCAAACACAACTCCTCTCTGGGTCCGTGGATCTGCTTGCTGCAGTGTTGGGGTTCCCACTCCCAAGCCAGGCGGGATGTGGGGGAGCAGGCGCTGGGGCTCACTACCTGGAAGCAGCGAATGACTGCCGGCAGCCCGTAATTAACCTCCGAGTCGTGACACTCCCCATTTAGCTTTCTAAAGGCAAATCTGTCTTCGCCATCCTCTGCCACCTCCTCCTCTCCTCCCCAGGGCTGCCGGGGAGGGGTGGCAGGGCAGGCAGGGGGCTCCAGCTCAGGGAGCTCCGAGTCCTTCTCCGCATCCGCACAAACCCCCTTTCCACATCTCAGGTCCTCCTTGCTCACGGGGAGGCTGGGAGTTGCTGCCTCCCCCTCCTCCTCCTCCTCCTCCTC